ATACCCCGCCCTTCACTACCCAAAGGTGTCTCAGAGTGGTTTACAATCTCCTTTCCCTTCCCCTCCCCACAACAGACACCCTGTGAGGTAGGTGGGGGCTGAGAGAGCTCTGACAGAAACTGCCCTTTTTCAAGGACAGCTCTTACCAGAACTATGGCTTGCCCAAGGTTATCCAGCCAGGTGCAAGTGGAGGAGTGGGGAATCAAACCCGGTTCTCCCAGATTAGAGTCCGCGCACTTAACCACTACACCAAACTGGTGTTAACCACTACACCAAGCTGAGTTAGTGTGAGCTAGCTCACGTTTTTTTAGCCTCTGGCTCACACATTTTTATCTTAGCTCCGGAAGGAGGGCTCCAGAGCAAACTAATCTATGCAGTAGCCCAATTGCTCGCTCACAACTTCAATGCCAGTAGCTCACAAAGTAGCATTTTTGCTCACAGGGCTCCATAGCTTAGAGGGAGCATGGATTCTGGGAGATCTTTAGGCCCCACTTGGAGGTTGGCAAGCTTAGGTATTCTCAGTGTGGCGCAGTTGTGCCACAGCATCTCCTGCATCGCATGGCCAACCTCCCAGTTGGGTCTGAAAATCTTCCAGAGTTACAAGTGATCTCCAGCCTACAGATATAATTACCCTGGAGAAAATGGGAGGTTTGGTGAGTGGACTTGGTGGCATTATACCCCCCCCCCCGTCCTTCCTTTGTTGCTCAGTCGCACAGTCGAGTCCGACTCTTCGCGACCCCATGGACCAGATCACGCCAGGCCTTCCGGTCTTCCGCCGTCCTCTGACGTTTGCTCAATTTCATGTTCGTTGCATCTGTGACACTATGTAACCATCTCATCCTTTGCCATCCCGGTCTTCTTTGACCTTCAATCTTTCCCAGCATCAGGGTCTTCTCCAGTGAGTGCTCCCTTCTCATTGGGTGGCCAAAGTATTTGAGCTTCAGTTTCATTATCTGGCCTTCCAGGGAACAGTCAGGGTTGATTTATTTTAGGATTGACTGATTTGATCTTCTTGCAGTCCAAGGGACTCTCAAGAGTCTTCTCCAGCACCAGTCCTTCCTTGGAATTTCCCAACACAGAGTTGGCAGTAGGGTTGCCAAGTCCCCTTCGACCACTGGTGGGGTACAGGGGTTAGGGTTGCCAGGTTCAGGTTGGGAATTACCTGGAGAATTTGGGGGCGGAGCTTAGGGAAGGCAGGATTTGGGGACAGGAGAGACTTCACTGGGGTATAGTGCCATAGAGTCCACCTTCCAAAGGTGCCATTTTCTCCAGGTGAGCTGATTTCCATCACCTGGAGATCAGATATAACCCCAGGCAATGTTCCCTCTAAGCTGTGGAGTCTTGTGAGCAAAAATTCTACTTTGTGAGCTACTGGCATTAGAGCTGTGAGCGAGCGACTTGGCTGCTGCATAAACTGGTTTGCTCTGGGGCCCTCCTTCCTGAGCTGAGACAGAACTGTGTGAGCTGGAGGCTAAAAAAACTGTCAGCTAGCTCACACTAACTCAGCTTAGAGGGAACACTGATCCCAGGGGATCTCCAGCCACTACCTGGAGACTGTACAAACAAATCACCAGAATAATCTGTCACACTGTACAAATCACACTTGAGACTACTGTCTTGTTATATAGTTCTACTTATGACCATAACAAATGGCTTTGCCACCATGCATCAATGACATCTGCACCACTAGCTTGATTCTTAGCTATTTGGAACATACTTGCAGACTTCCTGTCATTTTGAATCTTGCCAGAGCTGGGTTGAGCGGCCTGATGAAGCCCTGAGAAATGGAAAAACAACCTAGGCGTGCCGTCGCCACTCCTTCTGTTAGCACTACAGCTAGTCTTGAGCTCATGCCATGTTCTGCCCGTCTTCTTTTGGAAACTCCTCTCTGCACCATAAACCATGGACCACATCATTCTGAAGAGAGACTTGTCCATTCAAGGACTATCAGGTCGCTATTCAACTGGTGTCGATGTCATTTATGCATGGTGGCAAAACCAGGGGTCATTTCCTGCAGGAGCGCACGGGAGCGGAGCTCTGGCAGTAAAGAGCCCAGGGGGTGGGCACATGCAACAAGCCCCACCCCCTGCTCCCAGATGCCCTCAGTCAGAGCAAGAAGCAGCCAGGTAAGTTGCAGAGCTCCCCCCGGCCCCCCGGTCCAAAACAGTCCAGTGGCACCTTTAAGACCAAGTTTTATTCAGGTACAAGCTCTCCCTCCTCTGTGAGGACAGATCTGCATGCCCCCCCCCCAGTAGCTAGCAATCCAAAACAGTCCAGTGGCACCTTTAAGACCAAGTTTTATTCAGGTACAAGCTCTCCCTCCTCTGCGAGGACAGATATGCACGTCCCCCCCCCAATAGCTAGCAATCCAAAACAGTCCAGTGGACCCTGAGTGGTGGGTGTTGCCTTCTGACACACTTCCGGTGATGTCAGGGGGCATGGCATATGCAAATAAGTTATGCTAATGAGTTATGCTAATGAGCTCCTGCACCTCTTTTCCTACGAAATGACCCCTGGGCAAAACCATCTGCTATGTGTATCATTTATGGTTGTAAGTAGAACTGTAGAACTGTATAAGAAGACAGTAGTCTCGAGTGCGATTTGTACGGCGTGACAGATTAGTCTGGTGATTTGTTTGCACAACTGCATTCGCTGTATTTCCATTTTTGTGTGGTTACTATCTGGAGACTGGCAACCCTGCACGTTCCAGGTTGGGAAATGTCCAGAGACTTGGAAGTAGAGCCTGGGGAGGGGAGGGAACTCAGCGGGGTCCAATGCCCTAGAGTTCACCCTCCAAAGCATCCATTTTCTCCAGGGGAAGTCTGGAGATGAGCTGGAATTCTGGGAGATCTCCAGGCCCCACCTGGAGGCTGGCATCCCTAGTGGGCCAACCAACACCCTGTGATCGGCAGGCCACAGGAAGTCTCTTGATCGGCCAGGCAGTATATTAGCTAAGAGTCTGTATCTCTCCTTTCAGTGCCTCCTTACAAATGTGATTTCTGCTTGGCCGAATTTTCAGTACAAGCCACTGACCTCAGGGACTCTGAGCTGGACGGTTCAGATTCAGATAGGTCCACCCCCGGGGGCTCGGCCTGGCAAAGAAAAGCTTTATTCCCATGGGAGAGGAGGTCCTTTTAAATAAAGGCCTCCCAAAATATCTGTGCAGCAGCAGCAGAGTTACTCTCACACTGGGATCCCTCTATTGTACATTTAATGGTTCAATCGCTGCCCTCAATAGTGAGACGTCTGGTGCTGGGCTGGAGGTGGAGAAGGCACCGTTTGCTTTCCAGAGGCTTGGAGCCGCATGATAGAGTAGGGGGAGGAAAGAGGGGCTCGGCAGTAACGTACAGGAGGGAGGGACCCTTGCGCACTCGGCCCCCACGCAGCACGTGAGTTTCTTCACCACCGTTCCGAACCTGCCTAAATTGACAACGGTGAGGCCTTCGTCACAGTTGCTGACTGGGAAGCAGGTCTTCACAATGGTCCTAATGTGGGGTCCTATATGGATGAAAAAGGAGAAAAGGGATTGGATGTAAATGAGACAGACGTGGGGTAGTTAGGCCACATACACACATACACACACACACTACTCAGCATTGTCATGCCTGCCCCCGACCCGGCGCCTAGGAGCTCTGAAACTGAGGACTCTGTGCCTTTAACACCTGCACCTCTTTTTCTACAAAATGACCTCTGGGTATAATGCCATGAAGTTCACACTCCAGAGCAGCCATTTTCTTCAGGGGGATTGATGTATTCAGGTACAAGCTCTCCCTCCTCTGTGAGGAAAGATCTGCCCGGAGATCAGTTGTAATTCTAGAAGATCTTTGGCCACCACCTGGAGGTTGGCAACACCCTGCATAATACATATCTGCTATAAACTGATGGGGAATGTCTCTTGCCTGTTTACAAAAGAGGAAGATCTATCCGACGTGCAACAACATGCCTACATCACTGCCCACGTGACCTGGAAGCGACATCGTCACATCTCAGTTGTCAGGGCAACACTCTGGTCTTTGGGATAAAACTCTATGGTAGAAGCCAAATTTACCATAGAGTTTTTGCCCAAGGACCAGAGCATCACCCCGACAACCTGGACATGATGACGTCACTTCCTGGTCATGTGGTCAGTGACAAAGAACATTGGATGGGCCTCCCAGCTGCTCCCAGTAAGTTCTGGAGAGCCAGTTTGGTGCAGTGGTTAAGTGCGCAGACTCTAATCTGGGAGAACCGGGTTTGATTCCCCACTCTTCCACTTGCACCTGGCTGGATGACCTCGGGCAAGCCGTAGTTCTGGCACAGCTGTCCTTGAAAAAGGGCAGTTTCTGTCAGAGTTCTCTCAGCCCCACCCACCTCACAGGGTGTCTGTTGTGGGGAAGGGGAAGGGAAAGGAGTTTGTAAGCTGCTCTGAGACACCTTTGGGTAGTGAAGGGCGGGGTATAAATCCAATCTCTTCTTCTTCTTCGTCTTCTTCTCCTCCCCCCAACCCCCTGCCAGTTGCCAGGAAGCCCCTGGCAAGCCTATCTCCCATTGCCTGCCTCTAGGGATGCCAGCCTCCAGGTGGGACCTGGGGATCCCCTGAAATTACAGCTCATCTCCTGAAATCAGAGATCATTTCCCCTGGAGAAAACAGATGCCTTGGAGCGTGTACTCTCCTCAGGCTCCAACCCCAATTCTCCAGGAGTTTCCCATCCTGGATCTGGCAATTCTACCTGCCTCTTAGTCACAACCCTGGTACTCCTTGATGGTTTCTCATCCAATTACTTGTCAGGGTCGGCCCTGCTTAGCTTCTGAGATCTGACGAGATCGGGCTAGCCTGGGCTATCCAGGTCAGGGCAGAAGTATAACAGACATCAGCTAATGACTAGGCTTTCTTGGTCGTGGCCTCCATCTAGGGAAGGCCTTCCCCTTTGAGGCTTAACCAGTTTGTTATTTGCAGGGGTCGTTTCGTAGAAAAAGAGCTAGGGGGACTCATTAGCATAACTCATTAGCATATGCCACACCCCCTGACATCACCGGAAGTCTGTCATAAGGCCACACACCCCGCCCCCAATGGTCCCGGCCGCTGCCGGCCTTGCAGCTCCACTGCCGAGCCCCATGAGGGGCCCGGCGGTGGACCTGCAAGGCCAGCGGGAGTGCAAGGAAGCCCGCTTCGTCATGTGCTCGCCCCCCGTACCTCACCCGGGGGAACTGTGATACCCCGCGATCCCCCCCAAAATGACCTCTGGTAATTTGTTGGTTTTCAGTGCCAGGTCAGGACATCTTTGTCCTTTAATTAATACTTGTTCTTTTTTTAATCCCGCCGTTTAGATGGCCATTTGGCCTGCTTTTTCTACGTGGTTTATGCCACTTGTCAGCTTGCTGTTCTGAAGCTTTTCCCATTTCTTATGGATAATTGGTATGATGGACAGGTTAGGTTCTGCCTCTCCCTAAAAGTGGCAAATGAGAGCTTATAGAATGTCAGAGAGAGTCATTTGGAAAACTGTTGGGAGTCAGTTAGGAGTTGGCAGCTGGGAATTTGAGAGGGGAAAAGGAGGATGTCTACTGAGTCTGACTTTGGGGAATGTTGGAAATAGGTGTGTGTTGCAAGGTCTCATTCAGTCATTATAGGGTTAATCTGTTGTTTACCTTGTGGGCTATTGTTTAGCCTGACCCTGAAGGAAACCTGGCACAGAGCCAATGGAAAGATAGCCCAGGAAAACTGAAGTCTGTTTTGTAACTTTGGCCCCAGTCACATGGACCGGATATCGCGGGGGAGGGGAGGCGTGGCTGTTTGCACCGGAGCGAACTACCGCGCAGCAGCCAGATCAAACGTCCCGCCGGATGTCCCGCCGGCGTCCTGTGGTTGGGGGGAGGTGCTGATCATACCTCACTCCTGCGGCACGGCAAAGAAGCGGCGCCACGGGGGTTGTGTTGTGTTTTTTTAACCCAAGTGTTCACATGTGCCGTTGGGTGCTTGTGCGCACCCGTGGAGACTTGACAAAAAACCCAAAGTTTTCACGACGGGACATGGGCGGGCGCTGGATGCCACGAGCTAACACCGGAAACATGATCTGATGCCCGCCCTTGCCCTGCGCTTTCCAGAAACTAGTACCTCCGAGGTACTAGTTTTTTACAGCACATCTTCGGAGTGAAGCCTCGGGTGAGCCACGGGAACTCTATGCTTCCCCGATGTGGCGGTGTGCTCAGCCTATCTTCCATCTCTCTAGAATGCCTAATGCTCCGTGTGACCGGGGCCATTGATTGGTTAATGCAATCAGGTGACTTCCTTCTAGGGGTCAAGAAGAAAGAGAATCTCCATTACAGTCATGGTTGAGCGACCAAGTGGCCTGTCTGTCTGTAGCTGTAAAGATGTGAAGATGTAGTTCTAGGTATCTCTTTTATTTTGTAGGTTTCCTGTGTACCCTTTCCCCTTAAAAATAAAGATTTTTACTCAGAAAAAAAAATCCTCCCCTCCAGTGAAGCAAAGATCCATTGCAAACTCTGAATATCTAAGTATTTTTGACTATTTTTTCCCAACAGAGAAGAGCTGCTTTTTGAAGTGGGCTGAAAATATCTTTAACAAAAGGATCCCAGTTGCAGAGATGGGACCAAAGTTCAGACGTTTAATGGAAATGAAATTCAGGGGGGTAGCTGTGTTGGTCTGAAGCAACAGAACAAAGTTTGAGTCCAGTGGCACCTTTAAGACCAACAAAGTTTTATTCACGGTATAAGCTTTCCTGTGCATTTACACTTCTTCAGATACATTGAAATGGAAGTTGCCAGTCCATACATATAGGTAGAGGGTGAACTGCAGAATAGCATACAGTATAATGAAAATGTTTAGCAGATGCTGTTATATAGATCTGCTGTTTAACTGTTGGATACCTTAAAAGCTCAAGCTAGCAATTTGTCTCAGGCTGGAGATCCCAAGCAAAAAATCACAGATGTGGCTAGGGGAGTTAAAGAGGCATTGCAAAGCTAAGGCCAACAGTGGCCCCGGTCACACAAAGCATTTGCCCTGCTGAAGGCACGGGAGTCCCGCGGATTTTCCGGGCGCTATCACACCGCAACTTCTGGGAAGCGCAGTGCTCCTGCAGTGAACCCGTGGCTTCCCGCCAAAGATGTGGCTTAAAAAACTACTACTTACGAGGTACTAGTTTCCGGAAACCGCGGGCCAAGGGCGGGCATCTGATCGCGTTTCCGGTGGAATTACGTGGCGTCCGGCGCCCGCCAATGTTCGTTGCAAACAAGGGTGTTTTTTTTCTCCCAAGTCTCCAAAAGAACCCAACAGCGCATGCGCACAAAGAGCGATTGCTAGTGTGATTGCGTGGTGCGGCTTCTTTGTGTTCGAGAGAGGGCCACGGGAGGCTGCAATGGGGGTGAGCGGCAGAGGCCAGGCTGAGAGTGGGCCGCGTGTCCCAGGGAGAGAGGGAGGGAGGGCTGCTGGCAGGGAAGGGGGATCTGGTGGGTTAATCTCCCTCTCCCCTCCTTGCAAGCGGAACACGGACCCCGACCGGAGTGGGCCGCACAAGACCCTCCCAGAGGCCGCATCTCTTTCCTTTCCCTTTCTCATCAGCCCAGTTGCTCTCGGTGGAGGTGCAGAATACTCGTGTGATTGGCATCTCCCCCCTGACCATGGGACTGGGACCGGGACGTGTGATCGGGTGGCCGCATGTTATTTTCCTCTGAGGCAAATAGCCACGCTTCCCCCCCTCCGCATTTTCCTGCCCGTGTGACTGCCGCCAGTGACTATCAGGGTGGAAAGTGCTGTGACATCACAGCCGACTTACGGTGATCCCCATGGGGTTTTCAAACAAAAAGATGAATATAGGTGGTTTTCCCCTTACCCACCTCTGCATAATAACCCTGGACTTCCTTGGTGGTCTCCTATCCAAGTGGTAAGCGAGGCTGACTCTGCTTAGCTTCCAAGGTTTGCCAAACAATAGGAATCCCGAGCATATGAAATGTACAGAGATTAAAAAACCGCAAGGGTAGACCATCAAAGCATTCACAAATTTCACAAGTTACCATTAGACAATAGTCTATTGCAACATAATCACAGTATAATCACGAGTATAATTAGTGGTCACAAAAAACACTAGTAACCATTCAAAGAATAGAAGACAAAATTTGGTATAACAATTCAATAGTGAAGAAAGAGTCCAGCAGGCAACTCCTCCATATCCTTTCAGTATAATAGTGTCCTAAAGACCTCAAACTCCACAAGGAAGTCAGAGGATGTCCCAAAGATAAATCTGCAACCAAAAAACGCCCTTCCTAGATATGCCAGATGTTTCAAAGCATTCTTCCTCAGTTGTATGGCTGAAAAGTGGAACCTGATTTCCACAATAATCTAAGCACAGCTATTGTTTCAAATTGAATCTGTGATTCTCTATTCCATTGGAGACATGAGCTGTGCCTAGATTGTTAATTGTTATACTGTGATTATGTTGCAAAAGACTATTGTCTAATGGTAACTTGTGAAATTTGTGAATGCTTTGATGGTCTACCCTTGCATTTTTTAAATCTCTGTAGCCTCCAAGGTTTGACAAGACTGGTGACCTACTTCTTTATCCCTACTTAGGTCCACATTGAATAATCTAGTCTTCATGCCGGATAAGTCTGTCATTCATTTCAATTCATCTAACATGGGGCAAATATCCTCTGCCTCCCCCACCCCTTTCATAACAAGGTGAACCCTGTTTAATCTAAGGTGCAAAGGTTATCATGGAAATCCAGTGACAAGAAGTTGATGGGAGTACTTTTCAGATAGGGATACTCCAGGTAATTAATTCACAGCAGGGGCTCCAGTCGGGCCAAATTCCTGTTCCGTAGATATCATTTATGATTAATCCAGCCGTGCCTGCCAAAAGGAAAACTGTGTGGGATTCTGATTATTTGCCTCACGTCTGCAGAACTCTGCTGGAAGCTTTGGGTCTTCCCCACTTACCCACTGTGCCCTCTGCTTGGATGATGCCACAGGTGTCGAAACCAGGGGGGCAAGTGTGTAAAGGCCCCATGCAGGTGTCTCCAAAGCCTTCACAAATCTCACACGACACAGACGCCCCTAAAAAGCAGGACACAGAAAATTGATTCTCTCTTGTCTTTCTGAGGGGACGACAACGACAACCTTTGAAGTAAACGGGAAGCCTAGGGTATTTAAACTAGGGGGAAATGGAGAGACTGGAGTTCTCCTGGAATGACGACTGACCCCCAGATGACAGGGATCATTTCCTCTTGAGAAAATAACACCTTCAGAGGGCAGTCTGGTATAACGCAGATTCTAGGTGCTCCCTCCTCAAATCCCCCCTTCACAGGCACTGGCCTCAAATCTCCTGGAATTTCTCAGGGCAGAGTTAGCAGCCCTAGAAGGGCATCCTGCCCCTTTTCCTTTTTGGCACTCAGTGGAGACTGGAAAAAGAGGAGGAGGAGGAGGAGGAGGAGATTGCATGTAAATTAAATAATTTAATTTGCATATAAATTTAATAAGTAAGGGGACAATATACATCCTCGTCGTACTCCTTTTCCTATGCTAAACCAATCACTTGATCCATATCCTGTTATAACTGTCGCTTCTTGACCCTCATACAGGTTTCTCAAGAGACCTGTGAGGTGGTCTGGTACTCCCATCTCTTGAAGGACTTGCCATAGTTTGTTGTGATCCACACAATCAAAGGCTTTAGCGTAGTCAGTTAAATATGAGCAGCCAGTGTGATGCAGCGACAAAAACGTCTAATGTAATCTAGGGCTTTATCAGCAGAGGCATAACATCCAAATCGCAAGATGTGATAGTCCCACTGTACACTGCACCTGGAGTGTTGTGTGCAGTTCTGGAGGCCTCACTTCAAAAGGGATGTGGACGGAATGGAGCAGGTGCAGAGGAGAGCAACGAGGATGATGGGGGGCCTGGAGACCCAGCCATATGAGGAAAGGCTGAGGGACTTGGGAATGTTCAGTCTGGAGAAGAGGAGGTTGGGGGGGGGACACGATTGCTCTCTTTACATATTCGAAGGGCTGTCATTTAGAGGAGGGGCAGGGAGCTGTTCCTGTAGGCAGCAGAGGATTTAAATCATGGGTTTAAATTGAAGGTTGGAAGGTACCGGCTGGATATTAGGGGGAAAATTTTTACAGTCAGAGTTGCGCAACAGTGGAATCAGCTACCTAGGGAGGTGGTGAGCTCCCCCTCCCTGGCAGTCTTTAAGCACTTGTCAGGGATGCTCTAGGCTGATCCTGCATTGTGCCTGGACTAGATGGCCTGTATGGGCCCTTCCAACTCTGTGATTCTATGAAGGGGCTACTGGACTCTTGCTCTTTTCTACTGCTACAGACAGACTAACAAAGCTATCCATCTTAATCTATTACATAATTAGTATGGGTAGTATCATGATAAAAAAAGAAACAAAAAGAAAGATTTTCCTCTTAATGAGGGCAATATGTCCTATCCAAGATAATTTTTAGCTTGTTGTTGTTGTTCAGTCGCACAGTCGAGTCCGACTCTTCGCGACCCCATGGACCAGATCTCGCCAGGCCTTCCTGTCTTCCGCCGTCCTCTGAAGTTTGCTCAACTTCATGTTCATTGCATCTATGACACTGTCTAACCATCTCATCCTTTGCCGTCCCCGTCTTCTTTGACCTTCAATCAGCTTTATCTGATGTTGGGTGGCCGGTCGGACTCGAGTCCCGATGACCTACATCGGGCACTTGAAGCCGTGGCTGGTTGGCTCCGACTGAGTCGATTGAAACTAAACCCGGCGAAGACAGAGGTCCTGGGCCTGAGTCAGACCGGGACAGGAGTGGGGCTCCCCCTCCCGACCTTTGATGGGGTACCTTTGGTGCCTGCGTCTGGGGTTCGGAGTTTGGGAGTACACCTGGACTCTGCCTTAACGATGGAGGCCCAGGTGGCAGCGACTGTCAAGTCCGCCTTTTTCCATCTTCGGCGGGCGCGGCAGTTAGCCCCCTACCTGGACCGAGATGATCTGGCCACAGTGATCCATGCGACGGTCACCTCAAGGCTAGACCACTGCAATGCTCTCTACATGGAGCTGCCTTTGTTGCAAATCTGGAGGCTGCAACTGGTGCAGAATGCTGCGGCCAGGCTGTTAATGGGTCTCTCTAGAAGGGACCACATTCAGCCTGTGCTGAAAGCGCTGCACTGGTTGCCAATAGCGTACCGGATTCGCTTCAAAGTGCTGGTTCTTACCTATAAAGCCCTATATGGTCTGGGTCCAGCCTACCTGAGGGACCGCCTTTCCCCGTATGTTCCCCCAAGAGCACTACGGTCCGGGGCCCAAAAATTACTAACTGTGCCGGGCCCCAAAGATCCAAAATTGGCCACCACGAGGGCTAGGGCTTTTTCGGTGGCG